TGGTTGGACAGTGGGTGCAGCCCAAGGAGGGGAAGCCAAAGCAGGGTGGGCATTGCCTCACCCCGCAAGTTTGTACAAGGGGCTGGGGAACTCCCTCTCATAGCCAAGGAAGATTTACCAAGCAAATGGAAAGCAAAAAAAAAAAAAAAAAAAAACAGAGGTCTCACTCAATCCTAGTCTTTGATAAAACAGACTTTAAACCAACAAAGATGAAAAGAGACAAAGAAGGGCATTACATAATGGTAAAGGAATCAATGCAACAAGAAGAACTAACTCTCCTAAATATAAATGTACCCAATACAGCAGCACCCAGATATATAAAGCAAGTTCTCAATGACCTACAAAGAGACTTAGACTCCCACACAGTAATAGTGGGACACTTTGACACCCCTATGTCAATATTAGACTAATGACACAAAATTACAAGAATATTGGAGATTTGAACTCAAATCTGGACCAAGCGGACCTAATAGACATCTACAGAACATTCCATCCCAAATCCACAGAATATACATTCTTCTCAGCAGCACATTGCACTTGTTCTAAAATTGACCACATAATTGGAAGTAAAACATGCCTCAGCAAATGCAGAACAGTGGAAGTCATAACAAGTCTCTCAGACCACAGTGCAGTCAAATTAGGACTGAGGCTTAAGAAACTCACTCAAACTGCAATTACACAGAAACTGAACAACCTGCTCCTGAATGACTACTGGAAAAATAATGAAATTAACGCAGAAATAAAGATGTCCTTCGAAACCAATGAGAACGAAGACACAATGTAGCAGAATCTCTGGGTCTCATTTAAAGCAGTGTCTAGAGGAAAATTTGTAGCACTAAGTGCCCACAAGAGAAGTGAGTAAAGATCTAAAATCAACACCCTTACATTACAATTAAAAGAACTAGAGGCACAACATATTCAAAAGCGAGCAGAAGACAAGACATAACTAAGATCAGAGCAGAACTGAAGGAGACAGAGACCAAAAAAAAACCCTTCAAAAAAAACCAATAAATCCAGAAGCTGTTTTTTTTTTAATCATCAAAATAGACCACTAGTCAGGCTAATAAAAAAGAAAGGAGAGAAGAAACAAAGCAATAAAAAATGACAAAGGAGATATCACCACCAATCCCACAGATGTACAAACTACCAACATAGATTACTACAAACAACTCTATGCAAATAAACCAGCAAATCTAGAAGAAATGAGTAATTCCTGCACACTTAAACCCTCCCAAGACTAACCTAGGAACAAATTCAATCCCTGAACAGACCAATAACAGGTTCTGAAATTGAGGCAGCAATTAATATCCTACCAACCAAAAGAGTCCAGGACCAGACTGTTTCACAGCCAGATTCTATGAGGGGTACAAAGAGAAGCTAGTACCATTTCTTCTAAAACTCTTCCAAACAATACAAAAAGAGGGAATCCTCCCTAACTCGTTTTATGAGACCAATATCATACTGATACCAAAACCAGGCACAGACACAACTAAAAAGTAAAATTTCAGGCCAATATCCATGGTGAACATTGATACGAAAATCCTCAATAAAATACTGGCCAATCGAATCCAACAGCACATCATAAGTTTATCCTTCACGTTCAAGTCAGCTTCATCCCTGGGATGCAAGGCTGGTTCAACATATGCAAATCTTTATAAACGTGATCCATCATATAAACAGAACCAAAGACAAAAACCACATGATTAACTAAATAGATGCAGAGAAGGCCTTCCACAAAATTCAGCAGTCCTTTATGCTAAAAACTCTCCATAAACTAGGTATAGAAGGAACGTATTTCAAAATAATAAAAGCTATTTATGAGAAACCTACAGCCAGTATCATACTGAATGGACAAAAACTGGAAGCACTCCCTTTGAAAACTGGCACAAGACAAGGATACCCTCTCTCACCTCTCTTATTGAACATAGTATTGGAAATTCTAGCCCGGGCAATTAGACAAGAAAAAGAAATAAAGGGTATTCAGTGAGGGAAAGTGGAAATCAAATTGTCTCCATTTGCAGGCGACATGATGGTATACTTAGAGGACCCCAGCATCTCAGCCCATAATCTTAATGTGATGAGCAACTTCAGCAGTCTCAGGCTACAAAATCAATGTGCAGAAATCACAAGCATTCCTATACACCAATAACAGACTAACAGAGAGCCAAGTCATGAGAACTCCCATTCACAACTGCTACAAAGAGAATAAAATACCTAGGAATACAACTAACAAGGGATGTAAAAGATCTCTTCAAGGATAACTACACACCATTGCTCAAGCAAATAAGAGAGGAAACAAATGTAGGAAAAACATTTCATGCTCATGGTTAGGAAGAATCAATATTGTGAAAATGGTCATACTGCCCAAAGTGATTTATAGATTCATTGCTATCCCCATCAAGGTGCCATTGACTTTCTTCACAGAATTGGGAAAAAACCACCTTAAATTTCACATGGAACCAAAAAGGAGCCCATATAGCCAAGGCAATACTAAGAAAAAACAAAAAAAAAAAAAACCAAAGCTGGAGGCATCAAACTATCTGACTTCACACTATACTACAGGGCTTCAATAACTCAAACAGCATGGTACTGGAACCAAAACAAATACAGAGGTCTCAGAAATAATGTCACACACCTAGAACCATCTGATCTTTGACAAACCTGACAAAAACAAGCAATGGGGAAAGGATTCCCTATTTAATAAATGGTGTTGGGAAAACTGGCTAGACATGTGCAGAAAGCTGAAACTGGGTCCCTTCCTTACACCTTATACAAAAATAAACTCAAAATGGATTAAGGGTTTAAACATAAGACCTGAAACCGTAAAAACTCTAGAAGAGAACCTAGGCAGTACCATTCAGGACACAGGCATAGGCAAGGACTTCATAACTAAAAGCAATGACGGCCAAAGCCAAAATAGACAAATGGGATCTAATAAAACTAAAGAGCTTCTACACAGCAAAAGAAACTGTCATCAGAGTGAACACGCAACCTACAGAATGGGAGAAAATTTTTCCAGTATACCCATTTGACAAAGGGCTAATATCCAGAAGCTACAAAGAACTTAAATAAGTTTATAGAAAAATAACCCCATAAAAAAGTGAGTGAAGAGTATGAAGACACACTTCTCAAAGGGACACATTTATGCAACCAAGAAACATATGATAAAAAGGCTCATCATCACTGGTCATTAGAGAAATGCAGATCAAAACCATATTGAGATACCATCTCAAGCCAGTTAGAATGGCGATCATTAAAGAGGAGACAACAGATGCTGGAGAGGATGTGGAGAAACAGGAACGCTTTTACCCTATTGGTGGAAAATATAAATTAGTTCAACCATTGTGGAAGACAGTGTGGGGAATCCTCAAGGATCTAGAACTAGAAATACCATTTGACCCAGCAATCCCATTATTGAGTATGTAACCAAAGAATTATAAATTGTTCTATTATAAAAACACATACACATATATGTTTATTGCAGCACTGTTCAAAATAGCAAAGATGTGGAACCAACCCAAATGCCCATCATAGACAGACTGGATAATGAAAACGTGGCACATACACACTATGGAATACTATGCAGCCATAGGAAAGAATGTGTCATGTCCTTTACCGGGACATGGATGAAGCTGGAAACCATCATTCTCAGCAAACTAACACAGGAACAGAAAACCAAACACTGTATGTTCTCACTCTTAAGTGGGAGTTGAACAATGAGAACACGTGGACACAGAGATAGGAACATCACACACTGGGGACTGTTGGCCGGTGGGGGTTTAGAGGAGGGATAGCAGGAGAGGAGGATAGGGCAGGGATAGCATTAGGAGAAATAACCTCATGTAGATGACAGGGTGATGGATGAAGCCCACCACCATGGGCTGACACCGTGTTATTGAGAATAGCACCCAATAGGTAGCTTTTGAGCTTTGCCTCCATCCCTCTCTTCCCTCTCTACTGGTCCAGAGTGTCTATTATTCCCATCTTTCTTTATGGCCAGTGTTTATTTCCCACTTATAAGTGAGATCATGCAGTATTTGGAAAACCAATCTTTCATTACATTTTAATATCCATAACATATCTAGTAGAATCCTAGCATGCTGTCCTAAACACAATAGCAAAGACCTGGGGACTCACGCCTATAATTCCAGCACTTTGGTCAGCTGAGGTGGACAGATTATGAGGTCAGGAGTTCAAGACCAGCCTGGCCAACACGATAACCCTGTGTCTACTAAAAATACAAAAATTAGCTGGGTATGGTGGCACATGCCTGTAGTCTCAGCTACTCAGGAGACTGAGGCAGTAGAATTGTTTAAACTGGGACCTGGAAAGGGAAGGTTGCAGTGAGCCAAGATTATGCCATCACACTCCAGCCTGGGCTACAGAGTGAGACTCTGTCTCAAAAAAGCAGCAATATCACAAAAACAAACAAACAATAACAAAGACTTGGAACCAACCCAAATGCCCATCAATGACAGACTGGATAAAGAAAACGTGGCACATACACACCATGGAATACTATGCAGCCATAAAAAAGAATGAGTTATTGTTCTTTACAAGGACCTGAATAAAGCTGAAAGCCATTGTCCTCAGCAAACTAACATAAGAACAGAAAACAAAACACTGCATGTTCTCACTCATAAATGGGAGCTTGAGAACACATGGGCACAGGGAGGGGAATATCATACACTGGGGCCTGTGTATGTACATGTTCTGTACATGTAGCCCAGAACTTAAAGTACAATTTAAAAAAAAGAATTCTAGTAAACAAATTATGCTTACCTTTGAAGCTATTGATTAGAAATATTAGGAAGAAGTTTTCCTGAAATGAGGAGGTATGTCCCCAGTTTCTCTGTGAGATGGAAGAACAAGTGTGTCCTGACGATCCGTAGTTTCTTAACCTTCAAAGTCCACATGATGCCAGAGTGCTTCGCTACATCCAGAATTTCTGTTTGGCCAAGGTAAAGAGGTGTCAGGCCCATCTTAGCAATATATTGGGATGCACCTCCATAAAAAATTTGTTGTGTTAGTATTGGATTATGACCCAAAGTATAAAAGAAATACCCATGAGCCCATACTGATAAGAAAAATGATCAACTAAATGGGAGAGTGAGATAATTTTCCCATGCAGCAGAATGCCAAACAATTTACATAGATATTCTGCTTACAAGTGGATAGAACAGAACTTCCCACTCCTTAAGTTTGGGATGCATATAGTGACTTTCTTCCGAAGAGGACAGTTCAGAAAAGTGGGTGATGAGAAGAGTAACTTTACAGTGGAGAAACGTGACAAACGTTACCGCAGCCAGGTGACGAACGGTCACACCAATAGTATAAGGCAAGCTGAGGGGATGTAGTTTTAAGATCATTTCGTGAGAACGGTACTTTACCTCTGTGGTCATCCTTCCCAAAATCCGTAACCTCAGTCAACCCCTAAGAAAAACATCAGCCAGACTCAAATTTAGGGCATTGTACAAAAATAACTGACGAGTCCTCCCTCCAACTGTCAGGGTCATCAAAAACAAGGAAGTCTGAGAAACTCACAGCCAAGACATGCTTAAAATGACAAATAAATAATGTGGTAGCCTGCATGGGACCCTGGAACAAAGAAAAGGGACGTTAGCTGAAAACGAAGCAAATCCAGTGAAGTATGGGCTTTAGTTAATAATACTCTATTGATTATTCATTAATTGTGACAAATAGGAGTTGTTAGTAATAGGGAAAAATGGGAGTTCTGTGTATCTTTGAAATTTTTAGGTATATCTGAATTATTCTAACATTTTAGTCCTTCTAAAGGATTTTATTACATAATTGTGTGTTAGTTTAATCTCCACACTGCTTAATGAAATTTATCAGTTGTATTTGTGTTTGATTACACATGATCTCAAGTTGACTGGAATTACTCAGATGTCTTAATGCAGCTGCTGCAGTTGTCATAAGGTTGATTTTTCTACAATACACACAGAAATCATTACATTATCGCTTAATTTTTGAAAAATAATCCTGTCATTATAAACTTGCGATTCTTTAAGAAAGTAGAAAGGTTATAAGATGTTATGAGTCATAGTGTATTTCCAGTTTCGAAGTAATCAGACAAAAATCATTAAATTAACTAAGTAAATTGGCATACAATTTTAAAAAAAAGTACTTTTGAGAGGACCAGTCCAGACAATGTGTCTGTAAGATAGGCTTTACAAACTTAGTTTGATTAATTTTTGTTTTTCCGAGGATTTGATTCTTTTCAGTAATTACTGTTCTGTTTTTTCTGACAGGCTATCAAATGTTGGCTGCCTTAAGCTCCCTGTGAATTGAGTTATTCTCAGTAATACTCTGTATTATGAAGGCATTATTTGAGTGGCTGTCCAGTGTGATCTGGTTATTTGGAGTTTTACATAAAACAGGTGGTTCTTTCCATCTCACTGACATTTCTTATTATCCAGAATTCACCATCCTTTTACTATGGCTTGTCATAAGCAGGCCACCACACACAGGGCTCTATCCTATAGTTTGCCCCAGTTTATTTGGCTTTTCATTTACATTCTAATCTTTTCTCTTAGATACTCCACATTCCCTTGTTTTTGGACTTTATCAAAGCTTGCTATATGACTATGTGTTTATTACACTGGGAATAATTCCCGAAAGGCTTTGTAACAGCAAGTCATATTTGTTTGGCTCTGTGAGATGACCCAGACACCTCTGATTCCAATCAGAGGGGCCATTTACTTTGAGTGGACATGAGGCCAATGCTCAGAACCAAAGAGGAAGCAGCCTGTGATGTGTGATCCTGCAATCTCAATGCTGCTCAATGGGGCCATTTCTGCTGACCCAGTACCTGGAGTTGACGCTGTTGGTCTGTCCAAACCTCTGTACTGATTTTCCTTGACTTAGATGTGATGCTTTGATCTTGAGCTGTTGTACTCTGACTGTAATTCCACGAGCACAGGCTTTGGCCTCATGTAGAGCAATGTCTGAATTCTGCCTCCATTGTTTGTTACCTTTTTGATCTTGAGGATGTTACTTAATCTCTGTGGGTTTCAGTTTCCTCATCTGTCAAAAGAGAATAATAGCACACTGGCAGAGTTCTTACAACAATTAGATAAAATGTCTCCAAAACTCCTTTAGAAAGCCTGATTCTGTATCATGGACACTAACTATGAGGCCTGAGCAGAGTCAAGAGAAGGATCTGCCTTTGATTTGGTTTTGGGTGCTAGGGGTCATGTGGGAGAAGAGAAACAGAAAGAAGAGATACAAGGCAGATAATGGACTCTGGGCAAGGATTCTGGAGCCTCACACCTGAGTCTGCAGCCTGGCTCTCCCACGTGTTAGCTCTGTGGCCTTGTCATTATTGAACTTCTCTGATGCTACAGTTTTCTCAGCTATAAAGTGGAGATTGCAAGTGCCTCAGTAGACATGAAGTGCTCAGAGCAGTGCCTAGCGTGCAGTGTTCACTGTTCAGAATTATTAGGCGTGTTCTTTTCCGAAGGAAAGAATACGTGTAAAAATAAAAGACTACGCCAGATAATCCACTTACTCGTAAATAGGTCTTTTTCCAGCCTCAGTAAGAGTATGAAAATCATTTTGGCCTTTTTAATATACTCATATAAACAAAAGTTTCTCCTTTCAAAGAAGTCATAAGAAGAGGTGCTACATTTATGTCAGTATATCAACATATTTGAATAATTATTTTTCAGTTTTCCTTAGATGCTGGAAAAAGATATTCTTTTCAGTATCCTCAGTAATTACAAATCTTTGTCTTTGAATACAGAGTATCAAGAATTAAGCCAAGTCTATTAAATTATTGTGTTGATAATCTGTCTTCTAGATGTATAGTTTTGTATACTCGTACAGTTTTATACATTTTATAACTTTATGATCTTAATAAAACATACGCATACCCATTTATACATAAACTGTGTGTGTGTGTGTGGGTGTGTGTGTGTTTTGGAAAAGGGGTTATTGGGAACCAATGTTTAATGTAAGCTGAGTTATTTTCATGAGGATAAAGTCAATCATTAAGTCACACCTCCTATAAAAAAATCACATGTGATTTCTTGCATGTTTCAGAAGTTTTAAAATAAAGCCTAGTTAGGTTTTTGTCCTTATGGGACACATTCTACATGAAGCATGCATTGAGTCAAATGGAGTAAAAAATAAACATCTTTTCTTTCCAGTGTGCTATCCTTTTCTTCCCTTCCATATGTCTGTATCCTATGGACACCGTAATACTACAGCACTGATCTTGGGGGACCTGCAGAAAAGGCCATTAGATGCAGGGGTGGGGGTGCTGTACTTCAATAAGACGCTCAGTGTAACCGTGGGCGTAAGCCTGCCACCTCTGTTGCTTGAAAAAGCCTCGCTGCTCACAGGGAGGGGAGTACTAAACACTGGGGTCTATTGGGGGGAAAGGGGGAGGGCCAGTGGGAGGGGGAGGTGGGGAGGGATAGCCTGGGGAGAAACGCCAAATGTGGGTGAAGGGGAGAAAGGAAGCAAAACACACTGCCATGTGTGTATCTATGCAACTGTCATGCATGTTCTGCTCATGTACCCCAAAACCTAAAATGCAATTAAAAAAAAAAAAAAAAAGCCTCGCTGCTTTAGCAGCCAATGACATATCTGTATGCTCTTGGCATCCTGAACGTGACCACTTTAATTATTTTAAGGTTTCCTCTAAAAGTCTGCCTTCCTACTGGAATGGAGATGTGGTCGTTTGTGCTAATTGCATTTTAGAGTCTCTATTATATTGGTTACAGTAAGCGAATGTTTACAACATGTGTTCAAATCAAATGCCACTGGGCACTTAATTATGTGACAATTTGCTAGCTAGGTATATTTTGCAAACATCAGAAAGCGTCAGTCCATCTCCACATCACTCTCTATGTCTGGGCTATGTGTTCATCATATAGTTGTGGCTTTCTTTTTTCGGGCTCATTGAAGTGCTGCATGCCCAGTGCTATTCAAGCCCAGAATCCTGGCTTGAGAGCCCTCTGCCTTATGCCCAGAAAGGGATTTGAGACTGAGATAATATTGTTGCACTAGGGTCTCTGCCACAAGGCTTTTAAGAATGAGAGAAACTAAGATACAATATGACTTGTGGATCTCAAGGATCATAAACTGCTTGGATCACTTACCTGTTCAAAGCAGAAGATCTTCAAAAGCCAAAAAATATGCCTCCTTTCTGACATACGGGCACAGAGCCTGGACACCGAGGGACCGCCTCTGTTTTGTAGAGAATGATACTGAGGTCAGAATGGTGAAGAAACACACACAAAGAAAGGCTGGACCAAAACTGGGCCCAGATTTTGAGAAAAGGAAAACCACGATTCCTATTTTAATTTTAGTTCTTTTGATCTAAGAGAAAAACTGCACAGTCTAATAATATACTTAGTAAAAAACACCAACAGTTGTACTCTGTGAAGGTTACGAGGACTGGATGTGTCTTAGAATGTGATCATGGAGTTAATTTTACTCTAAGGCAAGATTTTAAGATGAACTGGTGTTCTCTTGTTCTGACCACATGCCATCGTTCCCTCCCCCCTCACTCGAATGTGAATAGTATTCCCATTGTGGGAACTACTGATTGACATCAAGGCACTCTGTTGTCATGGCTCTAGTTAAAAAATGTGAAAGAAACTACATCTTTTCAACCTAAAGGTTCTCTCTGTATAGTTAATTAAAGACATTTTAAGAAGACACTTGGATTATAGGAAAGTGATGATATCACGTTATGACATTTATTCCTTACACCAAGAATCTCAGTAATTGGTTCACCTATTCAAAACTGTTATTTTATCAGAGGCTAAAGATTCCAGGACCCCCAGAGTCAGACTTATCTAATTTCCCTAATTGGCATAAAAGAAAAGAACTCTGGACATAAGAACTTTTTGATTTGTGAACATGCCATTCACTTACTTGTTTTAAAACAGAATTTAATGTAAAACTTATCTAATGTTAATAAAAGTCTATAGGAAACTTTAGCCAGGGCTTAACCACTGGCTAATATACAATTTATTCCATTGTATTAAGAAATTTAAAAGTTTAATGAAGATTCCACAGCAATATAAACTATAGAAGGCAGCGTAGCTCATGGTGCATATTGTAGACTCTCACTTTACAACAAAGGAAACTAGAGCCTAGAAAAAGATAAAATGACCTTTCTATAATTATATAGAAGATAAACAGTCCACAGCAACACCAATACCAGATCCCATAGCTTTGACTTTTAGTCCAGTGTGTTTCCCAGTGGACCAGGCTATTTTATGTAATGAGAGTTATTTTATTCTAAGCAGTGCTGTTGTGATAGGTGAAAAACAGAAGGTGTATTCATCACTTTCCAAGAACTTCGCTCTCAAAAGTCTTCTATCTTACAATGGATAGATGTGTGTATTTACACGTGTATCTACGACTCCTTTAAGAATAGCTTACTACTACTTCTTTCCTTCAATTATTATTATTATTTTGTGACGGGGTCTCAGTCTGTTACCTAAGCTGCAGTGCAGTGGCACAATCATGGCTCACTACAGCCTCTGCCTCCCAGGCTCAAGTGATCCTCCCGTCTCAGCCTCCTGAGTAGCCAGGACCACAGGCACACACCACCATGCCTGGCTAACTTCTGTGTTTTTCAAGAGATGGAGTTTCCCCATGTTGCCCAGACTGGTCTCAAACTCCTCAGCTCAGGTGATCTTCCCCTCAGCCTCACAGAGTGCTGGGCTTACAGGTGTGAGCCCTTGTGCCTGGCTTAAACATGTTTTAAAATATACTTAAAATTTGATCATACATGGTAACCCAAGCCAGTAACACAACAAAACCAGTCAAATAAATGCACAGTGGCACTGTCTGAAGATGGCAGAAATGTGATTTAAAATATCTTACCAATAAGTGCAGAGTAGTTAGAAAAGAAAAAGAATAAAGAAATGTGATTTAGGTCAAAGTGTAAGAACGAAGGCACAGGTGAGCCTAGTAAGAGTGCCCACTAGGAAAGGGAATTCAGGTTAGGCTGCACTAACTGAAACAGGGTCAATTAGAACGAAGGAAGTTAATAGGACTGTTTTGCTTCGTGTGGCCACATCATGGGACCCTGTGTTATGTTCTGTGGGACACATCATTGAAAGCACTACTCATCAACAGAAATCTATTCCTAGGCTCTGAAACTGAATGTTGAATAGACTAGAAGTCACAGAGTAATGTCTAAAGAAGTTGCAGATATTTTGTATAGAGAAAGAAATTCTGGATGGAGGATGATAGACGGGGAGGGACCATCATGTGGAAACCACGCTAGATCTGAGCTGCCTAGATTTCAGTAACTGAGGGACCATGATGTGGAAACCACACTAGATTTGAGCTCCCAAACTTTGACATCAAGGGCTAATAAACAGAAGCTCCAGTGAGGCTCCCACTATCATGGGGTAGGACCTTCTGGCCCAGGGTTTCTTGGTCTTTGCTTTGTTTTGTTTAGAGACGGAGGCTTGCTCTGTCACCCAGGCTGGAGTTCAGTAGCATGATCTCGGCTCACTGCAACCTCCACCTCCCGGGTTCAAGGGATTCTCATGCCTCAGCCTCCTGAGTAGCTGGACTTACAGGTGTGCCAACACGCCCGGCTAATTTTTATATTTTTAGTAGAGATGAGGTTTCACCATATTGGTCAGGCTGGTAGCGGACTCCTGACCTCAGGTGATCGGCCCGCCTCGACCTCCCAAAGTGCTGGGATTTTAGGCGTGAGCCACCGTGCCCGGCCTTGGCCCAGGGTTTTAAATACTCAGGCTGTTGCATTCAGCAGATGGAACAGCTTGTCTCTCTCCCAGGGCCCTGCGTTTATAGTCACCAGTGGTGTTCCCCTCGAGCCTGGATGATGACATGAAGGAGGTTTTAAAGGGCAGCATTCACAATTTAGATTTGCAGTCGGACCAGATGACCTTTTTAAGGTGCTTTCCAGCACCTGGGGTTTTATGATTCTATTTCTATCATGCATCTACGCTGGGTATGTGTCACACTGTTTGAAGCAAACACTGAGAATGAACACGAGCCCAGTGTGGAATGTTGATGGCGCTCACATCTATTTTGTGTTTCAATTTCTGGAAGCGGTCTTTGTCTTTGAGGCAGTTTGGTCCCTGACCTTCTGTAACATTTGGAGCACAGCCACACTGTCTTTGTTTACTGTAAAGTGCATGGAAAAACCGACTTCCTGACAGTGCTCTGCAAAGCCTAAGGTCAAACCACTCACAGGTGAACAAACACAGTTCTTCCACCTTAAACTTGCCATTTGGTCCCTGTAAAATGGACAAGGGTAATAACGTTGGGTAGCAGAGAGAGGGGAAATCAGTCCTCTGCCAGCAGCCAGCCATTAGTCACTTTGTCAGTCTACTTTGGGAAGGGCTCATCTTAATTCAAAATCCATTCTGAAGACGTTAGAAGGCATGACATGCAGTTTTAAGTCCTCTAGCAACTCTACTAAATAAACCTAGAGGCCCTGCCGTCGTTCACACTGTCAGCACATCATTAATGTTTCCCAGGACCGCACAGATAAAGCAGCATTCTTACATTCTTACTCGCTTAAAGGACTGAAGAGTCACATTCATAGAATATTCACATCATGCAAGCTATTTCTGTTATGGTAAGATCTCCAAGGGGCTTAGGTGGGTTGGCTCCTGTCAAGAGAGCACACCCTTTTTATTTTTTTAACTAAACTTTTTTTTTTTTTTTTTGAGACGGTGTCTTGCTCTGTTGCCCAGACTAGACTGCAGAGGCATGATCATGGCTCATTGCAACCTCCACCTCCTAGGCTCAAGTGGTCCTCCCACCTCAGCCTCCTGAGTAGCTAGGACTTACAGGTGCACACCAAATTTTTGTACCTTTTTTTTTGGCAGAGACAGGGTTTTACCATGTTACCCAGGCTGGTCTCGAACTCCTGGGCTCAAGCAATCCACCTGCTTTGGCCTTTCCAGGTGCTGGAGTGAGCCACTGCCCTTACCCCACCTCCCCTGCTATTTTTTTACTATCATCAAATGCAATAGCTTCCCTCTGTAAAAGGAAGGGAAATGTCTTCCTGAATAAGTGTATTGTAAGCTCTGTAAGGGCCCTAGACAGTGCCTACCACACTGCCTTAGACTAGCAGGTCCACATAATGCATTTGTGTGAACATCATCGAATCAAAGACCCTGCTCACACAGTTACTCAATATCACTTATTTGTGAGATCCAAGTTTTCTTCTATTTAAAGGATTAAAATTGATCTAAAGTGATATAAATGACAACATTCCCAACATAAATTTACGTTTTTCTTTTTTCTTGAAATAAATTCAGCTTTGGCTGTATTTCGCTATTTTTTTTCTCGTTCTCTCCCTCTTTTTTGCGGGGGGGTCTCTAGAATAAGCAGGCTCTTGAAATGCCCTAGTTATCTAACATTGCTCTTGAACTCCACTTACAGATGATATACTAGCCTTTTACTAAAATATATCTGGGTATTAAAAGCTCAATTCTTTACTGCTGATGAGAACGATTATTAACACTTTTTTTCCCCAGCTATAATATGAAGCAGTAACACCCCTTTTTACTTCCACGGCCAGAGGCAGTATGTCACATTAACCTTCATTAACTGCCCAAGAAATGAGCTATGTTCATTACTGTAGTATTCTGGTTAGCTAAGATTGTGTGAGAAGGCTGATAAATGTCTGTGGTTTCTCACTTGGCTATTTAAAAAAAGTAAAGAATGGTGAAGTACGTTAGTCCGCTTACCTTATCGCCCTGATACGTGCAAGCATTCTGAGTAGGGATCCAGATGCAGAGAGCATGAGGCTGCAGTTAGTGGGCAAGGATGGATTTCGCTGGGGCAGAGTGGAGCCAACAGCCTGACCAAGATCAGCCTTTAGAGAAGCATCCGAGGCCTGTGGTGGGGGAAAGCAGGTAGCATGTGAAATCCAGGCCAAAGGTGGAAAAAGAAAATAAATTCTGTTTCTTTATAAGTAATGGCATGACAGAAGCCAAGCCACATAAGCCACTCAGATATCCTGTAAATTACTGAATTCACTGTAGAGATTTTTGTTATATGTGGCATCATCACTTCTGATGTTCCCATTTGTACCTCCATCGCCTTCGTTTATTCATTATTTTAAAAAGATATATCAAGCACTTTGCTAGCTACTGGGGAAAGAACATGAATGACGCAACTCCTAAACTCAAGGAGCTACATTATCTCTTCATCTGCACTATAAAAAATCATTGCAGCACTGTTTACAGTAGCAAAGACCTGGAACCCCAATGCAAATACCCATCAATGACAGGACAAAGGAAGTGTGGGACATAGACACCATGGAATACTATGCAGCCATAAGTTGGTGTCCTTTGTAGGGACATGGATGAATCTGGAAACCGTCGTTCTCAGCAAACTGACACAAGAACGGAAAACCAGCCACCACATGTTCTCGCTCATAGACGGGTGTTGAACGGTGAGAACACATGAACACAGGGAGGGGAGCATCACACACCAGGGTCTGTTAGTGGGGACTAGGAGAGGGACAGGGGGTTGGGGAGGGATAACATGGGGAGAAATGCCAGATGTAGGTGACAGGGGGATGGAGGCAGCAAACCACATTGCCACGTATGTACCTATGCAACGATCCTGCATGTTCTGCACATGTACCCCAGAACCTAAAGTACAATAACAAAACATGTAGAGTCAGCTTTACCATCAACTTCTGTTTTCCAAGAACACCACAGTAATGTCATTTCTTTGTAACACGACCAGCATCCATCTCAGTTTTCTTTCACCACTACCGAGGTGTGGGCACCATTCCCTCTTAGCCAGGCAACTGCAGAAGCCTCTTGATTAGTCTCCTTATGTCCAATCCCTTTCCCCCCATCAGTCTTAGCTTTATCCTGTGGCTCTCCTCAACCTAATCCCACTTCTACAGAACTAATACCCTACTTGAACCACAGTGATTCCTGCATCCACCTTCAGGCGTATGCATGTATTTTCACATACCTGGTCTCCTTCCCGCAATTTCTTTCATTTCCAAAGCACGACAGCATGTTGGTTAAGACCATGTGCTTTGCCACTTACTTGCTGTGTTTTGCCACTTACTTGCTGTGTAGTTTGGACAACTTATTTAACCTGTCTTTTGTGGTTCTGTGTGTATATCACTGAAAATAACTTATTAAAAATATTTCCTCATAAAATTCAGAAGGTTAATTTCTCTAAAATGCTTACAATAGATGCTGACACACAGAAAGTGCTGATTTTTAGCGACTGCCATTGCTATTGTTGTTAATACCTAAACACCGCCCTACTCCCTGGCCAAGTATTTATAGCTCCCTGCAAATCCCAAGGAACTCTGGGAACCTCCTCAGAGATTTAGGTAGAAGTATCTGTTTCCTTTTCAGGCCTTCTATGGCACTACTTATCTGACCTACATTTAGCAAGTAGACTGAGACTTACTAAATATTTTCATGGGAAATAAAACCTGAAGAAATGACTAGCAATAGAATATAATAAACAGTAACGATAGAAAAAAGTACCACAGGCTCTATAGAGTATATGCTCTCTGAGGGCAGGGACAGTGCTTCCTGTGTCTCTGCTTAATTTTCTTAAGAAAATTAAGCCATTTTTTTTCTCTGATTCAATGGAGGATGTGATTAGAAGATCATTAATAATAGACCAATCTGTTTACATAGACAATGTATAATCAGATAGTAGAGTGTCTTGACTGGTAGTATATGAACGTGAAGAAATAAGGAGCCACCTTGGTTTTGGACAGAGGGTTGTCTAGCCCATCTGGACAGTACCTGGATGTCATGACTGTGTTGGTTTGGTGGGATTAGTTTGGCAGCAGGCTGCCAAATGGAATGAAACAAAGAGGGTGACCTGAGAGGAGATCATTGGGTGGGAGGGTATGAGTACCTGAGCTTGGACTCCAGGAATGAACAGGGAAGAAATCTTAACTCCAAGAGCAGATGGTAAAGAACAAATAACTAGGATTTGGGAGATCACAGAGGATGCTGAAGAGGCAAGGGTAGAGAAGGTGACTGCTGGATCTCTTCCTTGGTTAACTTTGGAGAATTCAAATTGGGAAAAGCTTTTCTTGAAGGACAAAAGATGTGTGCATTTACTAGACCTTGAGCTCCAAGATGGCAGAGACCATGCCTGTCTTGATCATCACTGGAACCCCAGTGTCTGCGACCATCCTTGACACCCTCTTACAGTGAGAGGCTAAAAGAGCATCTGAAATTAATTAGTGGCCACTTACCTTGATATCTACACAGTCCAATAAGATACATTGTAGACAATTATCTCCCACCTGTTTAACGATTCTCCAGTTCTTGTTAGCTGGCATAATCAATTTTGCTAAAAAGCCACACGTCTCACATCTTGGGAAGGATTTCCCAAATAGGCAACTTGCTTAATTCCAGGATGAGTGACAGAATCTGCAGACCCTGAGGCCACCTCACTCATATCTGCCTTAATGTAACTGGTAAAACATACTTGACAGTACATCACCTCCACAGAAAGGTGCCCCAGAAAGCAACTGCTTGCTCCCACCCTGCTGAGAAGTAGCAATCTCCATGTGGCTTAAGGGCTCTAGCTGCAGCCATGAACAGTGTTATAAAAATATCACCACCATTTGCCAGCATGAGATGCCAAACTGCCAATAAGAGACAGGTCGATTCAATGAAGCAGAAACGTTTCACTTGTTTTTAAGATCACTCGCGAGAACATCATTGCTATGTCTGCCTTTAAATAAGAAATTGCATTTAAAAAAACAGAAAGAAAGAAAAACCATCTCCTCTCGTCTCCCTACAAAGGGACAAGGTTTTTCCCACTCGGGTGAACATTGCCTGTGCTGCTTGCCGAAGAAAGGGAGCAGTCTTGGCAAGCATCTTATTAGTCTAAAAATAAATTATTCAGAATGCAGGTTCAGATACAGATCGCAGGGAGAGATAATAGAATTGGTTTTCCAAGCCTGATCATGCTATGAAGACGTGGTGTGTGCTTTTCAGGAATCCACTTAAGTGGAATCAGCTTTGACTAATACAAACTAGAAATAATATTGCTGCCATCCAGCTTGTGTCTGTGGTACCGCATCCTCAGAATGTCTTCAAGTATCCATGGCCTCTTTAGTGTCCGTAAGTGTGCAAATGGAAAAGTATGTATGTATTCCCAAGCAGGCTTCAGTGGCATGCTTCCCATTGTTCTTTTAAGGAAATGTCTTCCTGGCCGCCGGAGCGGGGCACGTCTCACTTGAGGTTTGTGTCCCTCCTGCTCCCCCTGCCTGGGTGAAGCAGTTGACCACATCAGCCGCCGACTGCAGTTTGTCATGTGGCTTCTCATGTGATGCTGGGTCTGCAGCACTTGGGAGCTAGAGCCTTTGTGACTGGCACTCATGGACAGACAGTGGTGTTCAGGGACAGAACCGATTTTGGAGGGGGCGGGGAGGCCAACAAGCCAAGAAACGTCAGAAATAAAAGTCGCATGAAGTACCCTGATCTCTGTATTCTTATTTTTTTTTTTTTTTTGAAATTTTATTTTAACACTCTTGCTTTTTTTATGGTTTGTGTCTGTTTTTTTCCACCCCCGCTGGCGCCGAGCTGCGCTGTTTTGTGTTTCTTTCTTTTTTTTTTTTTTTTTTTTTTTTTTTGTAATTCTGAAGCCAGACCGTCTTTCCTCACAGCTCCAGGGCGGCATCTCCGTGGGCACGCCGAGCTTCCCCTGGTTACCTGAGCTGCTCCTGCGTCTCCCGCCCGGGCTTCGCCGTGGTGCCCGGATCCCGGAATCGTGCGTCTCCGTCCTGCGGAAGAAGGCCCTGCTGGCGGAGCTCTGGCCGGGGTCTGCTCCCTCACAGCTGGGCGAGGGGACCTGCAGAACCGGGTGAAGCTGCAGAAGACCTGGCGAGGGACGACCAGAGAGAACGCCAAGGATGGGGAAGGGGAAGTTAGGAATTCCATCCATCCAGTGCCCACCGGTGCTCCGCAGGGCAAGGGCAGCCGTGGCCCCTGCCGCATGCGCCCAGCTCGGGCTGCTCCCAGGGATTCAGTCTGGGGGGACAACCCGTGGCGAGATGTGGTGGCATTTTACCTCAGAGCGCAGCTGAAGATGGATAAACAAGGCATCTGATGTATCTGCCTGGGAAGGCAGAGCTGGAGAAAGGCGGAGTGAGGGAGCGCGTGCAAGGCAAGAGGAGATGCCGAATGCCGGGGCGATTGTCTGCAGCTCGCTGTGCATTCTCATTCTAGGAGGATGGCATAATTTATAACCCGGCACATGGATGGAGGAACTGTAAATCCTAGTCTGGACGTCCCCGGCGCTGTCAACGAAGGAACTGATGGGCTAGGTGACTGTACCAGTGTCCCCAGAGAAAATCGCAGCCTCGCAGCATGGATTTAAATGCATGTGCATGCGTGTAGAGACATGGAGAGAGGTTTCTGACCATTTTACACAGGAAGTCTGTCACTTTGCTGGATCGGGCTTGATTGCAGCTTGTGTTTTCAGCTCCAGCTCAACACCCATTTCCTGACTAGTGAGACAGCATGGCCAAAGCAGCTGCATGCAGAATTTTCTTTTTACTGTGAAAGCAAGCCCTCTCTGTGTTAACTCCTTCCAGTTCTGAGTGCTCTGTGCTTTGCTAGGACCGATGGTGGGGTTTTGTTTTCTTCTCCTATAAATCCCTGTAAACACAGCTGTATTCAGTAATGGCAAAAAATTCTATCCTGTAAATAGAAATCCGATCAATTTAATCAAAATAAATGTATCCCAGATGACTTTGAGACCAGCTGGCTACCACAAGCTTTAGATGCTAAATACTCAGTGGAGATAAATACTGTGTTATATTTACATGTTTCAGAATGCTGGGATCAGCCTGTAATTTGCAAAAAGAAACTCTTTTCTAAAGAGGAGAGGTGGTCCTGCCAGCCCACAGCTAGGCGGTTAGATACAGGTGTAAATGTTGTTCATGTGATTGGCAGATCTGCCGTGTTGCATTTCGAAAGGCATGTGCCATAAGGCGGAGTATGTCCATTGTCAATATGGAGAATGCTTGTTTCTAACTTGCTGTTTTGGAGAGCCCAGTGCCCTCTGAGTAGATTCTGGTGAGGTTGAGGGTAGGCACTGGAGGCTTGTTGTACTTTCAGATGTGAGGACTGGGGTTCTCCAACCCCAGCTCAGTGGAGTCAGCCAACCCTGGGGGTGAGGAGCTTTCCCAGTTGTCATGGGGAGCTCTTCTGGGACGCCTGTCTGGCCCTTCCACTGTTTGTTACTAATTCTACAAAGGCAGCTCTGTGTGCTGGATTATGTTTGGCCAGCTGTTGATGCATTCCTGCGGGTGGGGCTGGGTGAGGATCTTATTACTGTACTTTCAAACTGTAGATGGGTGTGCAGGGATAGCTCGGAAGGAAAGGAAAAGCGTAAGTTACGGAATCTGATCGAGCATACCCCCTTCTCCAGATAGCCCTAGAGTGAATCCAGAAAGGGTTTAAAGTCAAAAGAGTGAGTGATTAGGGGTGGGTGGCATGAGGGGAAGAGAATGAAACGGAGAGCGCGCGCAAGAGAAAAACAGACTTGGAACTTCAAAGCTGCATAGACAAGCAGAATGTCAGCAGCTTGTAATTAGCGGTTCATGGTTGCGTCAGTGACTGTATCTATCCAAGAATAACTATGTGATGTGTGCCACAAAGTGAAGAAGATAGTCATAACTAAGTTATCAAACCCAGTTCAAACAAGGGCAAATGGATTAGGAAGTTTTCTATGTTTGTAAATCAAATGCTGATTACACAGAGAAGTCTTGCTGAATTCTGTATAATTGAAGGCTAAATTATCAATTTGTCAGGGGGGATATGTTCATTAAATGAAACTGTGAACCCTTAAACATGCAAATCAATCATGCGAGAATATATCAGTGCAAGCTTTATCAGTACGAGATATTTTACTAAACGGCCGAAAGAGCCACTGCCAGTCTCCTATCTCTGTATCCGTACATCATTTGTGTGTGTGCATTTCAATAGAGAGAAGTCAAAAGTTACACTCAAGTAAATATAAATTAAATTCTGTCATTCCCATTTTAGAATTTAAAAATCAACTGAGGAGTTTCGATTTTTTTTTTTTTTTTTTTTTTAATCTCCTGAGTTTAAACCTTGAAGGAGCTTTTGCTGTTCTGAAGCCAAACAGCAGCTAGTCAGTAATCGCTATGGGAAGTCAGGGTACCATGGTTGTTGAGATTTGAAGGCCACGCTCACTTCCCTCCCTGTCTCCTGTGCTTCGAGATTTTGGTGCTACTGCAGCCTCCACAAAGAGATGGTGGGAGGAGCTGATTGGTCCACAGGCTTAGAATGTTTACTCTTGTTTGTTTTCAGGCTCCTCACGGCATTCATTCTGTATTTCTATTTGTGTTCATGCCGCACAATTACTCCTGACCTGCTTTGTTTCTCTGCCCAAGGAGAAGTCAGTTTTAGTTCAGCTCTTTAGTTTTTGGGTAATATGTGCATACGTATTGCATTACCCACGTATGCGTTTTTCTTTTTTTTAAAATGTGGATTAGGGAAAATTGTAGGCATGGAGAGCTGTGTATATTAAATCAATAGCTTTTTGAATCACACGTAATATAATTTAAATATACTCACTTTGAGGTTGCCAAAACTGACATTGTCTGAGCCCGTTTAATTTACATCTTCACTTTAGTCAAGAAGCGGAACCTGCCAGATCAGAATAGTGTATTCTGTGCACCCAACAGGGTGGAAGACATTATTTTGTTTGTGTTAGTTCGAACAGCTGGTCATTAATGCAGTCCCCATTTCTAGAGCGAAGTGCTGCTGGACATGAATGCCTGCCTGATTAATGCTGCCCCTCCGAGGGTCCTTCACCCAGCAGTCATGCTCGCAGCAGAATAATGTAGCATGATGTGATTGCACTCTAACAGGATAGTATGTCATTGTGTCACCAAGCAATTGAGGTTATTATGGGGCAGGGCAGACAGACGGGACAGTGGGGTTACTAGACTGTAGCATTTTTAGAAATACAGGCCTGACCTACTTAGAGTTATTCTCTCTGGCTGGCAGCTGCATGGTACATAAAGTCTCCTGATTGGCTGAGGCTGTTGCTAGGGGGGAATTAGCATGAATTTTTCCACACACAGACTCAGTGGCTGAATGATAAAAGCTGACTGGAATTAAAGAGATTTGGTTTAGTATTATACAGATTTATCTGCCTCCTTTTCTTTCTCAAGTGCAGAGAAAGAGTGCAAAACACAGATTTTGTTTCCATTTGTTCTTTGACCTTCTTGTTCTCTCTCCCTCCTCTCAAGATGCCCGAGGGGAGGAGAGCAGGACAGTTATGAAATTCTGGTTCATCTCTTACTGTTGGGGTCATGGAAACGATGTTGCAAATTACAAGATATTTAAGCTTAAAGACTGCTGGGAATGACTACCAGAAGGTTAGATTATTTTTCCTCTTCTGTGCACTAAGCTGTATTGAAGTTGGGTATGCATCTTTCATGCACTGTATGTTTATACTCTGTTTCCCTTTTGGGCTTGAACAAAACATTTATATAAATTCCTTTCTATCCAAACAGATTGAAGCTTGCAGTCTCTGGCTTGTTTAAAATAAGGTGGTCAGGATTCCAGATTTAGACAGGAAAAAAAAATATGTATATATATCACTTTTGTTATTACAAAATATTATTGGCTGTCTTTAAAAAGCCAGCCTGATGTGGATGCTTGTGGATGAAACCTAACTACTCCTACTCTACCCTGTTGGCTTCACAATGTATAGGAAGACACAGGTTTTTCTCCAGAAGAAAATCTGCCTGCAGAATGTATCTGGAGGTTGTTTTCCTTGTTGCTGACATATGCACGGCCATGTAGACAGCTCACATAATCAATTTTATAAGATGACCTATTTTTTCCCTTCTCGTGGGTCTCCAAGTGTCTGTGCCTTTTAGTAGATATTTTCTAGAGGGGGAGTTTTGATAGATCTTTTTAAAGTAATCTGAAAAGCCATCAGGAGCAAAATTAAAGCAATACATATTCAAGAATCCTGTTTCTTATTCTTAATTATATGCTATCTATGCTTAAACTTCAGTTTCTTTCTGATACCTTTTAGTGCTGAAAGTAGTGATTATCCTGCCTTTTAGATTTGAAATTAATTTTTGTGAGAACATACTGGGGTATCACAAGTAAACAAGATGCTGGAAAAGAATAATAGAGATTCTTATAAACTTGTCACATTAGATTTTTTTTTTTTTTTTTTTTTGGCCACATGAAAAAGGCAAGAGAAAATTTAGGTGTAGATTTTTCTTTTCATTTAGATTTTTTAAAACATTCAGAACTATATAGATACATAATGCTTTTAAACAGTGATTTCTACTTATACCAGAGACTACAGTCAAAACAAAACAAATTCTCTAATGGTGTCAGAGCCAAGAAATCTATCATATATATTTAAAATCCAGCAGTGTTTACTTTTCAGCATATAAATAAAGCTTATCAAGCTAAAAAAAAATAGCGTATATTTTCTGATGTTATAATTGGTAGATACACCTCACAACCTTTAAGAGTCCCCACACAAACGTTTATTGTAAAGGTTTCCAACTATACTAGCAATCTTTCTTAATTGAATAAAATGTCACTTGATATTTGTTGAATAAAAGATTACCTTATCCTAAGGTGTACTGCTCCTTCCAAAATGAATCAATTTATTATTTTAATCAGTGAATTTTTTGTTTTGGTTTTCTTTTACAGTATTTGCTTAGGTCACTGGACAATTATTTAAATATTTAAATGAAAATATATAGAAATGAAATGTCATTTTAAAATTACTTAAGGAAAAATGTCAACATACTTTTATTAACATTCTTTAATAAACATATGGCTAATTTATACGTAAAGCACAGCCTGTTTGATTAAAAATAAATTGATCACATTGAAATGGTTCAGTATAAATCTTATTTGGTTGTTTAGGTTGCGAAGAATTTTTCACTGTTTTTATTCATTACCAGGGAGGTAAGTATTCAATAAGTCCAAACAAAAACAAAACAAGCGTGTTTTAAAAAGCCATTTATGCTGACTTAGCTAAGCTTAAGTTTATACTTATACTGAAGCTCGAGTCCCAGATATTCACTTAGACAATATAATGTCATAGTATTCATTTTATCCTCTGCCATTCATTAAAAAGCCAAAGGAGCAATCACCTTCACTCATTGCATCAATCATTTATTTGTTAGGTATTTATTTTCTGCTCACACATGAGGCTAACTTCTCCAGTTATAAGGTTCAACATAGACCAGTGAGCTTTTGGTGGGATTGGTGGGTCAACAAAAAAGGGATTAACCAAACAGTTGATTGTTGTGGGCCACCTAGCTCTAGTGGACCTTGTGTTAGTTTCCCCGACTCTGTTGTGTCTGATACCTAATGTTACTTAGTCGTAGAACTTTGGGGAAGAGCTGGTGCCCTTACTACCAGATGCTTGGAGATGATCAGCTGTCCTGATCTCACAAACAAGCTGCATCTCTTCCAAACCATCTCAACACTTTTATAATACTAAAGATCTATCAATAAGTCAGAATGTGCCTTTTGTGAAGTCATAAAAGTATAATGTAACTCCGAGATTTTTAACATCACTATTTAAATGGGTAACAGCATTTCAACCATAATACCTGAAGAGCCCAAACTATATACTGCCAGAGACCTTATCTGATTCCCTCAGCCTGACACCTCCTGGACCTCCTATCTTATTAGAACAGTCATCATGTGGTGGTATTCTGTTAGTCTGTTTCCCCACTATGTGCCAGAGGCACAGAAGATGTTTCATAGACATTAGTTGATTAACAAGTGAATGAATGAGTGACCTGATGAGTGTCCAGAAGACAGACTTTAGAGTAGAATAATGAAGTCTTCTACCTGTGGATATATCAATGGCACAGGGCAGAGATCAACAAAGTTTTTCTATAAAGGGCCAGATAGTAAATACTTTAGGCTTTGTGGACCATATGGTTTCTATAGCAACTGCTGAACTTGGCTGGTGTGACTAAAAAGCAACCATGGACACTAGTAAATGAGTGAGTCTGGCCGTGTTCCAATCAAACTTTGTTTACAAAAAGAGGCAAGAAGCTGGATTTGCCTGTGGGTTACAGACCCCAAATATAATAATTACCTTTGATATTTTGAGGCTATGATTTACACCTATAGGTTTAGGGTAGACAGTGTATTTAAAAAGGAGGAAGATTTCAAACAATGCAATAAAAATTAAGAAAAGGTATTAGGTATTATTTATTTGTGATGAGAACTCAGTGCTAATCAACCAGATTTTCTTCTCTCACTGATGACACAGATGGGATGATTTATTTTAAAACTCAAAGATGAAAGCAAGGATTGTTACTCTTTCTTAAAATATACTGGTATTTTATTGCTCAATGTGTAAAAAACAAAAGAATGGAAAATTTTTACCTTCAAAATTATTTCTCTAGTGTTGGTTGCCTAGGGGCAAAAAGGAAGTCCAGCCTCTTTGTTTGAAGAGCTGGCACAAAATTTAAAATGTGTCAAATGGTAACGCTGGAAGCACAGCCACTGTGTTTCCTGTTATCTTTTGCATATTCTTTTAATCAATGTAAATACCGTGCCACTTCAGCAAACTAGGTCAGATCTTTCCTTTGTCCCATCTCTCTAGTCCCTTCTCTGTTAGTAATTAATCTGCAACTTCAGAGGTTCTGGACGAACAAACCCTTTTCCTCCTTTCTCTTGCTCCCCTTCAGCCCTTCCTGCTGTTGGCCTTCTATGTTAATGGATGATGTTGGAGGCAGTAAACCAGGACGGAGGGTGCTCTAAAACCATGGGCCTGGGAATTAGGCAACCTTGTGTGTACATGTCACTCCTGTACCCACCAGCTGTGGGACTGGGGACACTTTAATGAACTTCCCTAAGCTCAATTTCCTCATTCATAAACTAAGGTAATGATAATACTTGCCATGCAGAGGTTTTTGTGAGGGTGAGATGAGATTGTGAACATAAAGCCCTCCTAGCACTTTCGGAATGTGCAGCATAATTTGACTCTTGCTTTTATAATGGGGAGTTGTTCTGCCATTAAAGACGTGTGTGATTCTGCATTAGGCTTTGAGATCTTGGTGGCATCCTTAAGGGTAATTCTCATTAATGAGAGGCATCACCTAGAGCATTTATTTTGGAGAGTTGGATATCAGAAGTCCTGAAGTCAAGAGCAGCGCAGATACAGGAACTTAGAATAAGTCTGGAGGTATCCAGCATATTTCAAGAAATTGTGTTCTTACCGTTTCACCTCTAATTTTTTGTTGCTGTTGGCTTGGTGTGTTTCAGCATATTCTCGTTTAGGATTGTCCTAGAAACACAGTTTGTGTCTCATCTGTTTTTAGAGCAAGACCAAAGAAAGATGGAGCAAAAAAGACTGCCCCTCTACCAGTAGGCTGTGATTTCCGTATTTTAAAACTGTGCTCAAGGCTCATCTCCAGAAAATTTATCCTGATTAAGTGGGGCTTGGGAGCAACACATGTTCAGAAACATTCATCAGTCTTCAGCTGACTTTGTGTCCAGTGATTTCTTAAAGCACATTTGTTCATCATCACCTAACTTTTCTATCACTTCCAGGTCTCTTACGTTCCGCTTTAAGTTTTTATGGCCCCAAAATGTGGCTGAAGTTGTCCTCATGTGAGTGCCCGTGAGATCACAAAGCAAAGCACTTTTAAACTATTATTTTTGCTTTTTACCTCTCTGATCACCTCCATTAGACTGCAAATATCAAAGGGAATATCTTAATATGATAGTCTCAGCACTAGAAAAGCCATAGGCACATTCTAAGTGCGCAATAGATATTTGTATAAAAAATGACTGTCACAGGCTTGTTCTTTCTGCGTATTCTAATAATTTATATTAAGTAAGTCATTTGAAATATTGCTGAACTATTAGTAGTAACTACTACTACTAAATTGATGGTGAAATTCATCAGTTAATCTATCCCAGTAATCGTAGAATATCACTTAAAAACAAAGGGTTCTATCCACACAGTTTTGGAATTAGTAAATGAGAAAATACGTTTACTCTTGTTACTCTTTCTGAGATTGGACCCAACTAATTATACATTTCCGTCTAGACAGCATGCAGCACAGAGATGGAGAAGAGAAACCAAATTTTTTAAAGCAGTAAAAATAAGAAATATTCCAAAGCAAGAATGATCATTCTTCTTTTGTAGGGATTTCATAAAACATGTATCTTATTCTGTGAGACGTGTTCTTAGTTCTAACAAACCATTGAGAAGCGTATTAAATGAAAAGTATTCAGGAATCATCAATTGAATGTGATATTTGATATTTTAGCTTGTCTTTCTATTTTTCTTAATAAAAAAACCCTTTAGTTCTCTAACAGAAAGATTAGAAAAATGTTACTTTCCTAACCCCCAAGGCTAAAGTATATTAATAACAGAGAGGTTCGAGGCAGGAGGGGTGGGGGTTTTCCTGGGGTTTTTTCCTTGCGGCTGCCAGTGGCTACAAATGGCCATGTACCCCAGGGGAAGTGAATGCAACAGCATGGGAGTGAGAGCTTTTTTGTGTTCTCTGTCAATTATTAGGTGTGAATGAATATTTTGAAAGAAGCCAGTACATAAAAATGAACATTTGGCTAGTGCCTGATAGAAGTGAGTCTTTCTCCGCCTCTTTTCTTTTCAGACTGTTTGATATTCGGACTTCAGACTCTGCCTACCCCTCTTGTTATCAGAGGTAGACATCAGTGTTACAAAGGACACTCGATAGATATGGGTGGACGACAATGGGTTTACAATATTTTTTCCTTCTCCGGCTACTACAGGGCGGTGTTTTCCCTTGCTCTGTTACAGGGAAGCCTTTGCTTCATCTTTTTTTTCTTTTTCCAGGACTGTAGTAATTATACCGCAAAGGCTCTTTGGTTTAGGTTTTTAGTTGTAAGAATAAGGAATCCCAATATTGTTTCCCAAGAAGGACCACTGATACTTTTAATTTTATGGTATTTACAGAATAAAAGGCATCAGAGAATTTGAAATTTTTATAATTTTAAGGAAATCTCTTTATACTCCTTTACTGGAAAAAATCTCTAGATTTTTGCATTTCATACTTTTAACAGAAAACATGGTGGCAGCAGTAGTATTTGGTGAACATTCATCTTCAGGAGAATTTCAGAACACTTAAATAAAGAATCATGGAAGGCCTGGGAATTTTTTGGCAACACATATAAATATAAAAGAAGAGAGTCTTCTATCAAAATATTAATCACTTAGAGCCCATTGAAATGATGGCCAGCAAACAGAATTTGAACATTGCATCCCTCCTTTTGATCAATTCTCCATGTTGCTAAGTGTTAGAAATCTGGGGTACAGGACTTGTCTTCATTCTGGAGTCCTGTTTAGAGTTTTGAGGAAGCACTTTAGCATGAAGGATGGTACTGTATTGTTGGGAATTTTTATTTCCAGGATTCTCTTTAGAACCAATGTGCCAATTTTTGCCTTCTTAGTCACATGTACGGGTAGCAAGGTAAACATAGATTATGGTCTGTATGTTTACACAGCTGCTTTTTGGGGATTGGTTTTTAATTAGTAGAAGGATGGCGTGATGTATCATGTACTCAGTCCTTACAAGAGCATTTAGTTTAATTTTCTTTAGAGCTATCCATC